ATTTTAAGCTACTTTTACAATGTTTAGTATTTTGACCCTATCATCATTATTTCTAAATAAAATTCAGAATTTTTTTTAATAAAAATGATCAACAAAAAAAGCTCTACAACGTCTGATAGAAAGAAAAATTCTCTGAACATTTTCTGTTTTTTTTTTGCTTGTTTACCTACCCTAGTCGAACATCTTGTAAGAAAGATCTTGAAATCTTGTGACCGATAAGCAAGATCTTCATAAGATCTTGAAAAGATAATTTGTACGTGAATATCTTGGTTGTGTTAGATAAATCTGTATTTAAGATTTTGTCAAGATCATAGAAAAGATATCGTTTACTATTATCTTCTTACAAGACCTTGAGTAAAAGAGCGACATCATTAGTGTTTACATGCTGACTAGTCATTCACCGTTTTTTAATGCAGATAGAGCCATATATAAACAATGTGATTGAATATACAAAACACACATTTTCAACATAGTTTTCTTTTTAAAATTATTTCTCGAGTGTTGATCATTCGAGAACATGCTAATCTCGATCGATGATTGAGAGAGCACTACTCTGAAGTAGTCTGATGGAGATTGAACCATTTCAAGATCAGGCAGATTCCAAGATTTGACTTGTTTCAGTTATTTTGGATGTGAACAGTTAAAATGAAAATAAATTGAAAAAATGTCACTACATTGTTTTACAGAAAGAAAAAATAATAAACGCACTATTTGATAGGTTCGAACCACGCTTTTAGAATATATTATGCATTGTGTCGCAAATCACGACGCATGCAACACGTTTTATCTTAGTATGTACCCAAGATCTTATGGATCCATACCTAAGATCTTATGAATCTGTAACCAAGATCTTACATATCTGTACCCAAGATCTTATTCAAGAGCTTAGTACAAGATAATATGATTATCTTGTATCGAAATTTTCAAGATCTATTTATATTTCTGTACCTTGTACCTTGGCCAAGATCTTGCTTACAAGATGTTCCACTAGGGTAAGGAACTGTTCAGTAAAATATCTTATTGATTGATTTCAAAAAATTATTCATCACATTCTCATGCTTAGATTTCTATTATTACAAGAAAAGATATCATACAATAATATGCCATTTGAAAGAGTATCACAAGTACTCAAGCTTCATATAAAAACATTCGGTTCGAGATTATTTTGTGTTTGCATAAGAACTAATTTTTTTTAAGTCTCAAAACTTATGAAACATCCTGTAACCTTAGAATTATAACTGAGTAAGACTATTTCAGTTTTTAGCGACATTTAATAAATTATATTTGTTATTCTCTGCGATAACTGAGACCAAATTCATATGCTTTTCTCTAATAAATATTTGAGCTATGATTTCTCTTTCATTGGTCAAAGGTGAAAAATAACATAGATAAATTAGATATAAAATCTTAGAAATAAACTATTAAATATTTCAGGTTGTTGTCGACTGTCCAAGTACAGGTATTAAACAAACATTTCCCTGTAATAATTGGTTAGCTGATGATGAAGGTGATAGACGTATTGAACGTCGATTAAAAGAAGATTTATCATTACGCAAAACTCGTCGATCAAGTTAATAAATTAAAGATTACTTTCATCAATTTATTTTCTTTATTTAGCTGTTCCATGGTACATATGGGTCTATACAAGTGATAAGAAAGGAGCAGGTACACATGCTCAAGTTATTCTTGTTCTTTATGGTTATGATGGAAAATCAAAAAATATTAAATTAGAAAGAAATCCAAATTCATTAAAACAAGGTCAGTGTAATCAATATAAAGTTGATATAAATGATGTTGGCATACCATTTAAATTACGTGTTTCTCTTAATGATAATAATTTATCTCACTCATGGCATCTTGATCGAGTATAAAAATAAATAAATTATCTTTTGTTTTATCTTATGAAAATTTTAGATTGAAATGCAAAATCTTAAAACAAATGAACAATATACTTTTCATTGTGGAAGATGGTTATCAAAAACAGAAGATGATAAACAAATTATTCGAGAATTGCCAGCTACAGGACCACTAATATCAAGTCCTTTACCTGTTGTTAAATATATAGTTGATGTATATACAGGAAATAAACCAAATGCTAGTACTGATGCAAATGTTTTTATTAATATTTATGGTGAATGTGGTGATACAGGAGGTTATATATCACATTTCAATTTAACAAGTTTTTTATGAAAATATTTTTCTTTTTCTAGTACGTCCATTAGAATATTCATTACAAAATAAAAGAAAATTTCAAAGAAATGAAGTAAGAATATATTTTAAAATGTTCATTTAAATAAATAATTTTTTTTTATAGATTGATACTTTTATTATTGAAGCTGTTTTATTAAAGCAAATACGAAAAATTCGAATCGGTCATGATGGTACTGGTTAGTTATCTTAATGAAATAATTTTTTGTTTTATTTATTGATCTTATTATTTATTAGGAGCAGGTTCTGGATGGTTCTTAAATAGAGTTGAAATTCGACCAGAGCATCAACCTTATGGACCAGTTACATTTGTTTGCGACAGGTATTTAACAGAAGGATTTTTTTTCAATAAATACATATATCATTTTCAGATGGCTTGCTATAGATGAAGATGATCGACAAATTGTTCGTGAATTAATACCAACACAAGATTCACATAACACAATATATCGTGTTAAAATAAAAATTGATGATGTTTTTCAAGCTATGACTGATGCAGATGAACATTTGCAAATATTTGGTGAGAAAGCTGATACAGATAAAATTCATCTCACAACATTTAATAATTCGATAGATACATCTGAGAGTGGACATACCGATAGTCCTACATTTCAATATCATGATCTTGGCAAAGTTTGTTATTTTTTTTCTTTTTATTAAAACTATTTTAATATTATTAATAGATTGGACATAATGGAAAAGGATCTACTCCAGAATGGTTTCTTGATTCGATTGAAATTTATGTACCAACGCATTGAGAACTTTATAGGTGAAAGCTCATATAAGGCCAAAAGGCAAAGATAATACTCAAAAATATTACCCAAACGTTTTAGAGCAGTCTGAAATCTTCTAGAACCTCTGAAATTTTCGAGAAAGGAGAACAACCGTTAACTAATGAAATTTGTCCTCTCTGAGCATCATTTTGGCTGGATATTGCTGAGTTAAAACTCGATATTATCTATTCTATATAGATTTGTTCTATTCAGTATTCATATATTAAGTTTTTCTTTTATTTTCAGGTCTGTTAATTCGAATAATATGTCAAATGAATGTTGATCTTTTTTCGCTGTCGAATAATATATATGAGTGTTACAAAATATGTTTCTTTTGTGTTTTTTCTTTAACTGACACTTTTCACTCGTACATACAATATGAAAGTATCCATTAAAAAATTTCCTTTTTTTTTGTGCTATAAAAGTATCGATTCACTTTGAATAATATTGTATTCGATAGCCCTTTCAAAGCTCTATAAAATGGGTGTGTGTGGGGGGGGGGGAGGGGGAAAGGTGTGGGTGTGTAAATCAAATAGAAAACAGATCGATCTATATCTCTTTGATACAACTCAATCTGCTAGTCTCAACTCTTGCTTTTCAGCAACCGATGAAATCGTAATTATTTTCAAAATTAAAATTTATGCTTAATCAAATTATAAATAGAAATGTAGCGTTTAATTTCGCCGATACGTTTCGTATTTATTTATTTAAATTATAAAACATTCATCAGGGCTCTCCATTACAATAAAAGGCACAAAATAAAACAAATTCTAATATAAAAAACAACAATAAAAAAGTGTGTGGGTGTGGACAGCTGTACAAGAAATGTCCACACTCACGCTTGCTTGCGTGTCCCCCACTATGCCATTGCATGGGTACCCTTATAATATATCCATTGACGATCTATCGGTACTACCAAAGGACTTTTTTCTACTCTGACATCGATACGAACTCTTACTAGGTATGTATCAGTGACAGTTAACTGAGTACTCACTGCAATTGGGTATATTTTTCACTGATCTATGATTTTTTCAATCATCGATATTTTCTTTGGGTTATTACATTACAATTATCTAATTATGATACTCGTAAGATAGCGAAAAAAGAGAGAGAAAAGAGTAAACTTTATTTGGGTTATGATCTTTTCCACTATTGTATGGCAAAGGATAATGTTATCCGTGTCCATAAGAAGTTTTCAAGGATATTCTATGATTTCCTCCGAACAACTTATCTTTTCTCATAGTCGTAGTGAAAAAACTCATGACTCAAATAACGGTTTCTCTTTTTTCTCTTTTCGTCAATTCACTGTCTCGTTCTCCTCTACTATTAGGGAACAACATTGGGCTGTTCGGAGCGAATTATAGAGAACTATTAAAAATCCTTTATCGACACGAGCAACATTATGCATCGTCCGTAGAATAGAGAAGAAAATGATGACCCAAATAACGTCGGTTCTCCTGTGGACAAACACACCGTCAATTTCGGATTTTAAGACCCTGACTACAGTCAAGGAAATTTCCATTAAACATTGTTTTGTTTTTCATGAAAAACTTCTCTTCTCAATCAAATCTATTCATATTCGATTTCGATGAAACATTATTAGTTGATACATCATGTGATCCTATAGAAGAACTTGCTCTTAATAAAGAAAATTTCAATGTTAATCTATATTCATCATTGTTATGAAAGAAATTCTCACTATTAGAATAAACGAATGAGTGAAGTTCATGAATGTCTTACTGAACAAGTTTTTTTAAAGAAAACAAATAATTGAAATATGTCATACAATTGAATTAAGTTCTGAAAAACTTTTTTTAATGATATTAATTGAAATAATTATAAAATAGTTATAATGAGTAATGCATATAATCTTGTTGTTGAAAAGTATTTTCATGCTCGTTTATTGAAAAGAGAAAAATTTATTGATTATTAAAAATCTTTTTTTTTCATGTTTATCATGTATTCTTGAGTTATATATGGTTGGATATGTTTCTGGATTTTGAATTCGCATGATATTTTTATTCAATTCAATAATTTCAATTGAATATTTACTTTTTTATGTAGAACTCACGTATGTTTTCGAAGAAAATAATAGTGAGTGTAAGTTTTAAGTAGAAGTTTCGGCAGCTCGACCTCTCCACCCTCCGCATTACAGACACTTAGCAGCTAGAGCTCCCATTACAGACCTTAGCAACCGTGCGCAGCAGGCTTCAGATTTATTTATTAATAAAAAAAAAAAAAAGGAGTTGAATAGTATAAAGAATATGAGCTCGACTGTTATATAATATTTCAACGCCTTCATGAATATTTGAAAAACTAGAATATATCTGTTAAAGTTCTTAATAGTGAAATTGTCAACTTTTTTTAGAATTTAAATTTGTACTTTAAAAATGATTTATGAAGAGTAATAATAGAGTGATTTATCCTAGCAATCATATAATCAATATGAAAAGCATGATTCGATCTTTTTATCAATTTAAAAAATAAACGATATCACCATTTATGAGTTGATTCAGATATATAGTAGTACAGTAAGATCTAGTGACACATAAATAATATATTATTATAATAGTCTGATTTATGGAATAGTCGATGATGAAGAAAAATAAAAATGTCAAATTAAAACCAAAACAAAAAAATGACTAATATCAAGTGCATAACAACAATTATAAATGAAATTAGGCACTCTGAAACAAAAAAAAATTCTATGTTTTAAATATAGAAATAAATAATAAAATCTCACAGTTACCATCGATTATCAATGAAAACAACTACGGTGTATAGGAAATTTTTCAGTTTACATATGATGTATTAGGATATTAAGGTTTAAAGATATATGTAAGTTCAACAATTCAGCTCCGAAGCATCTGCGCTAATAAGTTTTTTCAAATGGAAAAATATAAATTAATTCGAAGAATGAAAATTATCGAATATCTATAATAAATTCTTCATTTGTTCTTTAAAGTGATCTCATTTTCAATAGATTAAAATTGAATTTGAAAAGTAATTTTTATATCAGATTTGTTTTAATTCATTAAATATTTAACAAACACAAAAGGAAAAGATGAAAAGAATTTGTTTTTAAATATATTTTGTTTGAATATTTAATAATTCTATAAGAAGAAAATTAAAAAAAAAATTATATCTAAAGACGAAATCTTGATTTTTCAATAGAGAAATGAGTGTTAGGGAAATGTTTTTGAATCATTAATCGATAAGGTTCGACTTTTTCATCATTAATTTCACCATAAATATCCAGATAACTAAATTGGTTCAATTATTCGACTAATTGAAAAAGATTATTTTCAAAAAGAGTTAGATGTTGATCTGAATGAAAAAATTTATTTTTCTTTTATCAATTAATTCTCTTTACGTACTAATCGATTCAAATGTTTCTAAAGATTTTGATCATCGTCGAGCCAAAATTTCATAACGTGCTTCATTAAAATCCGGTCAAACTTTGAAAGACAAAAGAAAAAAATAAATAAATTTTTCAATAAGAAATATTTCTGTTGTATTAAACAAGAATAAATTCTCACATAAGATCTTTTTCATTACATCTTTTCATTTAAAAGGAGCTATGCTTCATATCGTCTCAAATTAAAAACTTTAAAATTACATCATTTTTTTTTTTAGAAAAGAAACAATTTAAACATGAATTGTGTTACATATTGATGCAAATGCAATCAATGTATTCAAATAAAAAATGACTTCATTTTTCGACTTTTCGATATTTTAACAAGGAAGAGCTATATCTTAAGAAAATTTTCTTCATCTCTTTCCAAACTTTATATTTCAGATTTGAATGATATCGCAAACAGTTGGAGTTATTGTATAAAAAAAAAGAAACCGAAATTTATAAATGACACTGAATTTCACTTTTAACTAAACGAGTCTGACGGACGGCAAAATTCATTTACACAATTTGACAAATATTGCAATAGGCTGTCCACAGAATTTTTTTCATTTAAACTTTTTATCATATTATAGAAATAACAGATTAATTAATAATTCGTTATTTATCTGAAATAACACTCACTTCATGACCAAGAAAAATCATCTGGTCTCCAAAGATGCAATGTTTATAAATAAGGCATATATTTACTAAGAAAAGGTATAAGATATTTTCCAAGACGAATCGATGCATTTGCTCCAAAATGACAACTCGGAAGAGAAAATTCCATGTATCTCACGTTGCTTAATGTATTCTCTTTTAATTCATCAAATGCCTAAAAATAGAAATGAAAAAAACAGTTAAATAAACCATTGTCAATTATCATAAATAACTCATAAAAAAAAAATAAATAAATATGAAATTTTAAATGATCAAAATAAGTTAATGTGTACAACAAATATTAAATATTTTGTTTTTGAATATAGATTATTTAAGAATTTTTCTGTCTCGATATCTTTTTCTTTCTTATAATTTTAAAATATTTATTTCTTTTTCATTTTCTATAGATACATGTCAAACAAATTAAACACTTTCATTATTAATATTTTCCATATTAACCTTTTTTTTTTCCCACAACAAAAATATTTCGTCTTTTCGGTCATCTGATCTGTTGCTTTTTAAAAAAGTCATTGATTTTTTTTACTTTTTATTGAAGTGAATTTATTTTGTATCTAGTATTATTTTAATCAATTTTATTTCAAATTTAAACAACTATAGATAATATTTTTTGTTTATTCCAATATAAATTCTGTTTTTTTTTTGTTCTGAACAATAATGAATAGGAGCACATAAGACTGTATTTTGTCTTCCGTTCCTCTTGTATTTACTCATCTAAATCTAATTGAGTGGTATATAGGGTAAAGATCATGAGCTCCTGACAATTTTGATGACAAATTCGAGGTATTTTTATTCGGATATAGATATAAATAGAAGCTTCCTTTACGATGTACTATATAACTAATCTAGTTATTGATATTATTTAACAATATCATCATCAATTTAAAATAAAATAAATAATTTTTGTTAAAAA